TACACGATTTGAAATTTATAATAAATAATTTGTTTTAATCAGTATCTGGAGGTGGGGTATGCGTGGTGGTGGGGGTAACCCCGACGGTGTGCCTGGTAGTGGAGGTGACCACAACGGTATGCTTGGTGGTGGTGGTGGTGGTGGTGGTGGTGCCATCGGACTCATCCGAGACCACTGCCGACATCTGCAACACCATATCACCTTTGTTTTTATCTTTGTTTCTAAAATGAACTCAATTTAATGTAATAGTGGCCTGGATAACACCAAATATGATACACAGGTCATACGCTTTCTTTTCCTTTATTTTGTCCTTGATGTCGCTCAGACCTGATTTGATCTTGGCCTTTATTTTTACCAATTTTTCCTTCGCCTTCACCTTACTTTTGGCCGCCAACTCCTTTAACTTATCTAATTTACCTGTCACCAAATGAAATTGTCCCGGTTAAATGTAAGGCGCTTATAGCGCTGACGGAGTTACCGGTACCTACTTTTTGGTAGTATCGCTGCGATCATAAGACATTTGTGAACAAATGACTTGTTATGATTGCCAATGTGAGCCATGACTTTCATGAATGGCACGTTACGTAGTAAATTGAACCTGGGGTGGTTATGGCGGGTGAGAAGGTACTAGTCATATAGTTTTTAATTTTCCTATTAGTTACTTAGTTTTTGGGTTAATAGTAATTTATTGTATTGTATTGTATTTAAATGCATAGTATTTAATTAAGGAACATAAATAGTCTTGTTAATTTAAGTTGTGTATGGAGTGGGGTGTCCAGGGATAGAGTTGTGAGCACACCCTGTCATTAGCAAAATTTGTGTTGATGTTATTTTCAAATATGTTTTTTCACAAACAGTTTTAATTAGTGGTGAAATATGTTTTTGTTTTATGACATTAGGACTATTTGTTTTTAAGTAATTTTAAACTAATTTGTATCTCGCTAGTCTAGTTCATCACCATTATCATAAATTAATTAGTTATACATTGCATACATTTTTTTATAATAAAAAATAAACTTATTATGCTGTTTTTATACCATAATCATACCATAATTATTATAATTAATTAATTCGGTTTTTATGAAAATATAATAATTTTATTAATAAAATACTATATATAATAGTAATATAAATATTAGAGGGGACAGGTATGTCACTGTTAATGGTGGGCAACACTAATGTTAAGATGCGTTTTAATGTATTCGGAGGTCTCCTTCAAAATCTTCTCAATCCTATCCGAGTCTTTAGGCTTGAGTTTGGCGACCTCCTCGGCCAAGTCGTCGTAGAGGTCATTAGCGGACGACCCCTCACCTGCCGGCGCTCCCGCCTCTGCTTTACCCGCTGGAGTGCTCTCTGCTTCCTCACCCCCTTCCTCATCACGTTTAGTCCTATTTAATTGGTCGGACTCTGCGAGCACCGGGAGGTGTCAAGTAAATTAATTAAATATAAAAAATTAATGTATTAATAAATAATATAATTTTTATATAAAATAATATCATTTTATGTATCATACCATAAGCGCCGGTAGTCTGGATTATTAGGCATATCGCTAATACAAACGATAAGATTAATATTGTAAACAATTTGTTTGGTTTAAGGTCAGCCATTATGGGAAATACACACACAATTAGTTTGTAATTAATATTTTTAAATTCAAAATTTTTTTTAGAAACATATTTTTTGTATTAATTATTAAATCATATCTAATTAATGTTTTTATTTAATTTGATTTTATATACCGGTATATACAGAGAACTCTAGTTTATGTGCAATGTATTATTTATCAACTAATACTGTAATGTACCTTGTAATTTAGTTTATTATAATTATAAGCTTTATTATAATGAGCGCCTACACGTTTGCAATTAATCGCGTATTTAAATAGAAAATTATTTTTGAAATGTGTTTCAAATAGCACTCAAAAATCCATATATATCTTAATTACCATTGAATATAGAGTTGCAATTCATAGACAACACACACACAGATCCCGGTGCTGTTCAGTGGTCGATAGTGTCGGTCCAGCTATTAATGGTGGGCCCATACATGGGACCCCCCAAGGAGTTGGTGGTCATTATGCAAGTCATACATACGGTATAACGTGTTTGAGTGGAACGGAAGCATCTGCTGGTGTGAGCTACCAGTGCCGTCAGCTATTAATGGTGGGCCCATACATGGGACCCCCCAAGGAGTTGGTGGTCATTATGCAAGTCATACATACGGTATAACGTGTTTGAGTGGAACGGAAGCATCTGCTGGTGTGAGCTACCAGTGCCGACCGGCCATACACTCTCTGTGCGACCATTTGTTTGCAGTTAAATGAGAATTGAGTTGAAATCAGCCGTAACTTTGGGCTCGGATGGGCCGGTGACCCAAGAAAATGTCCTAATCATGTGTCCGCTCACTCTTGAACACTCAGTTTACTACTGTTCCCCTTGGTATCACTGACCCCCACCTACACACCAACCCGCCCCTATATCTCCTACTGTCACATCTCGATGTGATTAATAAAAGTTTGTGTCCGTTATTACAGTAAATACTCTGTTATTATTAACTGGTTTATTATAGAGTTTTGCTGAATAAATAGTTAATTATAGTATTTATTTTAGCTTGTCACTGTTAAATTTTAATAATGAATTCTTTTATTTTGATTATATTTAATTTAATTCTAGATGTTATTTTATACATGTATATGTATATTTTAGACTTGTTAGAATAGGCATAGAATTTATGATTTCATAAAATTGTCTGGTTAAATACCATGAATCTTTTTTTGGTAGGTTTTATTGGATATACTTACTAGCTATTTTTAGGTTAATAAATATTTGCAACTTACACTGTACCTAACAACATTAACACAATAGCTTACAATAAACTATTTAATAGTTTAGGGGTTTGTACACTATAGCGAATACAACTGTAGTTTTAAGTTAATATTTTTGTTGAATGAGATTTAGCAGACCTCACAGATCGCACCGATAGTGGTGGGGGTCGGGAGGGCACGCATAACTGTATACACAANTGTAATAACGGACACAAACTTTTATTAATCACATCGAGATGTGACAGTAGGAGATATGTGGGGCGGGTGTGTGTGTAGGTGGGGGTCGGGAGGGCACGGATAACTGTATACATAAGTATACATTTGTGGTGGCTTTTGGTTAATAAGGCGTTGAATTTTGAATTAAAACATTTGTGTTTCTCATTACGAATCACTAATTATTGGTAATTCAACGCTAAAACTGTCCGTGTTTCCAGTGCAATACAACCGTATTCCCGCACATCCACCGGCATGCCGTTATAAATGAGGCTGATCATTTTTACATCGAATTATAAATGAATATTATCTTATTAATATCTAAAAAGGTGGTCATTAGACTAAGAAACTAAAAGGTTTATTCATTCTAAATGCTTTCTATTCATCGTGTCAAATAATCTTATACTATAAAGTACCCAATTATTACACATTTTTGAGAATTTATGAAGATGTGAAAGAAATTACTTACTAAACAGTTGATTGGTTATTTTGATAAGCTAAATTAATTATTTTTAATTTTTTCAATTGAAATATTTTTTGAACTCAATTTATTTTGCCTCACTTTATAACGGCATGCCGGTGGTGTGCGGGAATACGGTATATATATTTTCAAATTAAATTCATTTTCATTTCATATTCACAATTAATTTATACTCATTATTCAGTCTAAAAGAGACAAAAAAGATTATTAACTGAAAAAACATTTATCAAACATTTTGTGAATAATGTTTAAAATGTTATAAAATGAGTAAATCTTTACTTTTCACTCAATTTTTGCATACATTTAATGAATTTTTTTGATGAAATCCGTAAGCTTTCGGTCCATTTATAACTGACCATTACGGCCATCCCTATCAAATTAAGGTCCAGGGACATTTATATTGTTTCTACTTGGTATTAACTATCACCATGCCAAATTTAAAAGAAATCGACGAGTTTCACTTGAAATCAAATGCTTGTAAGTATTGTGTATTTAATAAAGAGTTGAAAATAATTATTTTGGATTATTTTGCGGTGAGTTTTCAGTTATTTAAATATTTGTTAATTAATTACCGAACTTATTGTCTAAGTTATAACTAGTAAACATTTCAAGTAAACTCTTTATTAAATGATTATACTTTATATAATAGACATACTTGGCTGCCCTTAAAGTGATTGGGTGTACCCCTAATTGGTCCGCCATCATGATATGGCTCATCCTGATATAATATTATTATAAAATGTCTATGAGATGTCAAATCAGATTGATTTAATAATTAAAGCAAAATTAAATTTTTGTTCTAATTATTGACAGGGTCATAAATACAATATCCTGCAATTATCGACCACTTCATCCCTTTCTCCGAACTCCTGGTGCTCTTCCGGTTCACCACTCAATGTGTTATCATTATTGGCACCAATTGAGACAATTTGTGAAATCAATTCAATTGTCAACCAATTCATTATTGTCTCCAAAATTACAATCAATTGAGTTATCATTGAATTGAGTCTTCATTTCATTCAAACTCTTATTAAACGCCTTTAGTTTTAATAATACATTAGTTTTAGACATCAATTGACTTTCACTTGAATTCATGTTTGAATTGTTATTCTTTATAATTTAAAATTCAAACAATTTAATGAAAAGACTATTTAATTAAATTAAATTGTTATTCAATTCAACAAAACTGCCACAAAATGCCAACTTTTATCAAAAAATGTATAAAAGCTCTCAATTTACAGTTTTCTCATTGAATACATGCCTTACTGTTAACACAAAAACCATATTATTGTACAGTAAATGTAAAATAATTGCTTATGAATTCAATTCATAGTTAGAAAATTGAATATTATATTCACAAGTTTATAAATTATTTATAAATTTAAACATAATTAATTATGTGCAAGCAAATAAACTAGACACTTTTATCATAATTTAGATATAAAACAATAGTTTTATTGATAATTCAAATGAATGGACACACTATTTAGGTAACCCCTGTCCGTTCAGTAGGCACTGGTGCTCATCGGTCAGCACCTGTGGCCCGGAGCCGACACGAGTGCTGATAATATAGCGCAAGGAATCGCTTCCAATACACGGCTTATCGTCGAAACTTGCCGTCAATCCCGACTCCAACTCCACGCCATTTACGTCAACCGCCTGTCCCTTCACCTCCAGACCCGTCTGGTATCTCAGCAACAGCTTGACTACAGGCGCCACATCCCTGTCCAGCAGATACAGGCAGGCGTTAGGGCCGGCGTCGAAGGTGTAGGCGACGCGATTGGCGCCGTAATACTCGTTGTACTGGTGACAGAATCGGCGTACGGAACGGGAGGTGTCGTTCATGTATTGCAGGGGCGGGTATGTGTCCTCACAGACGGCGTGAAAGCCGTTACTATCCTTCATAGTTATCTCAGCGAATGAGGGGAAATCCCTGTCCTTAATAGCCTTTACCATAGCCTCGACCCGCGCCGGTACCACCACTTCCACCCTGTGCTTCATGAGAGCACTGGTAGCCACAGTTAGTTGCATTCCAGCTGTACTACTGGTGTCCTTTTGGGTGTCCCTCACCACCAGCACTAGGACTCGCATTTCCGGCCAATACGTCTCGTCCACTATCTGTCGAGCGACGGATGTCTGGCTGTCTGTCCCCTTAAGCCA